TTTTTTTTTTACTCTTTCTTTTGTGATTTTTTATGATCATGTGTGTTTTTTTATTAGTGAACTGGGAGAGAATAGACCTCTCAGTGTAATGGCCGGTTTCCCATTTCAGACTACATGTCTTCTCTGGAGGATAAATTATGATTCTTTGTTTGAGTTGTATCTATATTTAGGTAACTTCTCATGTACAACCATTAAACAAAGAAATGATACTCTAGGGAATGACATGTGGTCTGAAATGAGAGAAATATGCAATACTTGTCTGATAAACTTGTAGTCCTTTTTTGATGTCTATAGTTGGTTAGGGATAGGGCCGCCATTAGAATGGTCATCCAAGCTATGTGCAGGTCTAACCATTTGCAGATGTAATTACAAGGGCAGCAYCTTTTCCTCAGCTATTATTTTTAAAACCCTAAGTGCTAGTCTTCTCCGGCAAGAACTCAAACCACCACCTCACACACAACAACCCAATGCTCTTGCACATTGACCTAAGCAGCAGTTCAATTATGAATGGGTACTAAAATTAGTATTGTGTTTGTGTGTGAATATAGAAGTATTGCAAAGGCATCTATTGGGTACACATATGAYGACAGCCCTGCTGCATCAGGAACAGCCGAAGAAGGAGATAGTGATGACAGTGAAAGTGACAGTGAAAGCATTCCCAGTGACATAGGTATGTTTAAGATATGAGAGAAGACCTGTGCTTATTAACAAAACTTGTATACCAAGAAACAAGAAGAACAATAGTGAAATTTCATGTTTACCAACAAAGTGGTGTTAATATGCCAACCATTTTCACAAATGCTTGTTACAAGTTGCTTTGTGTCACCAGTCAATCAATCTCTAGTCGGCACATGAATACATGTAGCAAAGTCTTATGTCACATTAAGTAGCAATATATTAGATCCTTTTTTAGCTTGGGTGTGATACTTTCCTAGTTAAGTCCAAGTGCCATTCCCTAGAGTATTATTTCTTTGTTTACTTTGTGAACACGCTAACAGGACCACGTGATCAAAGTTAACTAATCATGGCATAGAGAGAAAAAATAGGAATTAAAGATAAGTCAAACCTGAACCAATCAGGAGCAAGCAATGAAACCTAATTATCTGAAAAATGTTATCAGCAACCGTGGGAATGAGTGACTGTGATTGGCTGAGGTCAATATGATAATAATTTTGCTTTCTCTTGATTGGCTATGTAAGGCCAATTTTATCTTAGATTTTATTCAACTGGTGCTGGTTAGTGAGTCAGAACAGTAGCAGTAGAAATAAGTATCATTTTGTTGAGAGCAAAAGCAGTAATATGATCAATACATTTTGACTTTTTCTAGATGTGACAGTAGATGTGGATGAGCTGACGAAGCAAGAAGTATGTGTAAAAGAACTGAAGAACTGTGAATAGGATTAAACCCAACTTGCCAAATTGAATATTTCAGTAAGGCATGCCCTGACTAGATCAGCCCACAAGTGGTTATAATCCACATTCAGGGTTTGATCTGTRAGTTAGCCATGCCCTGACATAGATCAAACCAGAGGTTGTTTCAGGGTTTGATTTGTGATCCGTGCYCTGAATTTGACCTGCCTAGAGGTTGTTTCRTTGGTGTGCTGTGTGTGTTAGTCCTGCCCTGACTTAGATCAGTACAGAGGTTATTTTAGGCTTTGATCTATGAGTTAGCTATGCCCTGACTTAGATCAGCCCAGAGGTTGTTTCAGGGTTCTATCTGTGAGTTAGCCATGCCTTGACTTAGATTAGCCCAGAGGTTGTTTCAGGGTTCAATCTGTGAATTACTTGTGCCCTGACTTACATCAACCAAGAGGTCTTTTAAGGGGTTCAACACAATTTCATTGATAACCTGTTGTTTTTGTTTCCAGATAAAAGATTTAGATTCTCTTGCTATGAATTATGGCATGGCTCCAGCACAATACTGCAGGTGTGTACTAGTCCTACCACCACAACCTTTAGTATAGTGCCAATTTAGCACTGATAAATTTGTAAAACTGAGACTGGACCACCATTTTACATGGTCATCCGAGCCACAGCGAACATTTAACCATTTGCAGATGTTTCTAGAGCAAAGGCAGCACTTTCTGCTCATATATTTTAAGACCCTAGAAGTGTTGGTCTGGCCAAGGCTTGCACCTGACCTCTCGCACAATAGTTTGGTCCCAAATGAATTGAGCCAACTGGGAGGTGGTTAAAATGACTTATCCAAGATCTAGGGTCACCGTAACTTGGTGGATTTGGGTACCTTTTTATCCTCACTATGATACCCATTGTCTGGAAGAATTATATTCGTTCTCCTTCGTATTCTTGCCTAACTTTGTGTTTAAATGATATCGTTACATTGCTTTAGGAAACTAAAGGTTGATAAAGTTGAAGCTGAAGAACAAAAAAGGATCCGAGAACAAGAAGAAGAAAGAGCTTTGATGGGGGTATGTATTTGTGCCCCTGTTCCATTTATACATGTATTGCGTGACMAACAGACATCTACTGACAGACCATTAGATATTTAATTTGACGGAAGCCAAATAGACCTATATGTCTTGAACTATGGCTGTTGTGTGGGTCAAGTACTTATGCAAATTACTCTGTAATTAAATTGCCGTATGTATTTACTTGTTGCTCATTTATGATACAGGGCCGACGGTCACGCAGGGACAGACGATCGATACGTGAAAGACAACGTAATCAACGTGTCCAGAACTCACCTCCAAGGTTTGAATATATTCTTCCCTACTCCTATTTCTCCCTTTTTTCCCTCTTGGCCCTCTTCTCCCCTTTTTCCCATTTCCGTCCTTTTCGTCATTTTTCTCACTTCTCCCCTTTCTCCCCCTTCTAGCCATTTTTCTCACTTCTCCCCTTTCTCCCCCTTCTAGCCATTTTTCTCACTTCTCCCCTTTCGCCCTTCTTTCCTCCTCCCTTTTCTCCCTCTTGGTCCTCCTTTCCCCTTCACTAATTGACGTTGTTCCTGCTACAAATGCAAAATACGAATACGCTTTGGTTTTCCCTTCCTACACATTTGTCAGTATCAGATAGACCCTTCCATGTATTATTAGCATACCATCATTCCTCCTCCAGCCTCCCATTTTTTCTTATACATAGCCCGCCCTGTGTTTCTCGAGATTCCTGGGGCTCAGAACTTAAGTCTATAGGAATAGGTGAACGAATAATGCACTCATAACTTGACTACTGTTTTATTGTTTACAGCTACGCTCGACGGTCAAGTCCAACCTATGAACCATACAGGTAATAAGCAATGCCGTATTTACTCGATAAACCGCCTTGGCGCTCTTTAAACTTTTAGTTTGTCCAAGGGGGGGAGGGGAGGGTGCTCTTTAAATATCATAACATTTGTAAGTGATAACAAGCATAAAATAAACATGCGCTAAATGTAATTCGCCGCATTGTCGTGAATAAATGCGGCGCATCGAGGGCGGCCGCCTTGGATGACCACGTTAATGGCGGTCCCGTCTATAATTCACTAGAGACGTAAAGCTACGTTTACACTGGCGATTTTTGTGGCAATTTTCGGAAATATGAAATCTTTTGTCTCATCCTTCAAAAGAGACATTCGTCTAGGAAAATCTTGGTATCCTGAAAAAAACTTTACAAGTAAATTATTTACCATTATTTATTATGGACAATATCGCGAAAAAATCGCAGCAAAAATCGCCGCAAAAATCGCTAGTGTAAACGGGGCTTAAAATAAGACCATGAGTTTATCAGTTGAATTACTCTCAAGTGCTATCCTCTATGAACACTTCATTCATTTATTGTTTTTTATTTAAGATATCACCTCAACACTCCAAGATCAAATTCGTATCTCAGCGCGGCCATGTAATATCCTCTATGTATAGTCTCATATCGATAAACATTTCAATTCTTCTTCAGATCTCGATCTAGTTCAAGCTCATCGTCTCGTTCCTGCTCACCAGAGAATGCTGGCGAAATACAGTTCATTACTGAATTCGGAGCATCGAATACCCAATCACCGACCAAGCCAGACAACAGTGGTGATAGTCGTACGAGTACCAGCTCCTCCCGGTCGGTCTATATCCCTTGCTATGTATTCACTTGAAGATTATCAAGGCATTCTGTCATCCCTTGGGGTGTAAAACGTACTTGAACTGCGGGTTTTTCTTATCTACTTTTTTTTAGTCTCAATCTCTTCTGTAAGATAGCTTTATGTTTAGAGTGCAAATGCTTAATCCGCGGGAGGAAATGTTTCTATTTAGGAAAAATTACAACTAGAAATTAAGTTTGGCATAGCGCTAGTGCACTCGCCTCTCACCTTTGGGTTGGCTTCCTGGAATTTCTCTCCCTTGATTCGAGAAGTTTTCTCCTGGTTTGACGGTTTTCCTCCCTCCGTCGAAACCTAACAAATTCAATTCCAATTCGATCTGTGAGTTAGCCGTGCCCCTGATTTTGATCAACACAAAGGTTGTTTCACGTTTCGATCTGTGAGTTAGCCGTGCCCCTGACTTTGATCAACCCGGCTGTTTCAGGGTTCGAAAATAATTAGTTATGTATAACTGTTTCATGGATTTAGTGTTTGCACTCTACTCTTCTACTGCTATAGACTCCTTGCATGTGACTTCAAAGGAGTTCAATTTGGAGGACAAAAGAAAAGGATTTCAATCTCCTGAAAATTGGAAACCTATTGTTGTGTCCTACAAATTGAGGCGCATTCCGACGTGCTGCAACTATTGAGTTATCTAGGGTATTCCATGTCTAAGGTTTTCCATGGCCCGCTGTGGCACGGTGTACAGCCGCTTTTCGAACCCCCTCCCCTGACTTCTTTGCACAAATCAGAAGAAAAAAAAAWTTTTTTACATGGTTTCAAGGCTAAATTCGATATTGACAAATGATCTAATTATTTAAAGCCACAAGACAAAACTTCTCGATGTTTTTCCGAGTTTTTTTAAAATCGTATTTTATTTTATTTTTAATCTTCTCGTTTTTTATCTTGACTTTTAAAAGATAATTAAGGGTTTTAAAAAACGTTAGACTTCAATAGAGGTTTTATAGGATGACGAACGAAAGTCGAAGCAAAATTGCCAGGACTTGAGAAAAAGCATTTCAGCTTAAGCAACATATTTTCACATTTTTTAGTCTACTATCGGTTCCCTTACTTTGAGATTAACCTTTTCTCAAGTCACGTGATCTTGTAAGACCTCTTAAGACCCATTCAGCTTGCTTCTAGTTGTGATGGCCTCAAATCAATAATTTGGTATCAATATATCTAAACTGATTTCATGATTCGGCAACCTCGACAACCTTAGATTCTGAGGCCCATCTATCAATCAAACTCAGAGGTTGAGGAAGAAACTGGGTCGAGTTGGCATTGCAGTGCATTGTGGGTTTTAGGGGACATTTCCAAGATGGCGTCTGTTTCGTCCCCGAATAGAGTCCCATGATGCACTGCAGTGCTAACTCGATCCAGTATTTTGCCCATCCTCAGAATGGCTGATAGTTGTGTGGGCCAAAAGAAGAAGAAAAGCACAAATCAAATTAACAACACTTATGAAGCTGAATGGGTTTTTGTTTTTGTAGCGCTTTTCTTTATTCTAATTTCTTTATTTCTTTTTTCTTTCCTCTCATAACTGTTCGTGTTATTGTCACCGCCCTTCGATGTGTCCTGCCATGTGTTCTGCTTGCTTATCTGGTGCAACTCGAACGATTTGTCAAAYAACAAACACACATTGGAATATGCCCAAACCGGTATGTATTCCTACCATATTCGTTTTATATTTGTGTTGTAACGATTGTTTTTGGGTTGGCGGGTCTCCAAAATGTTCAAACCCTGCAGAGTCAAGGATAAAGATCGCAAAGAACGAGAACACGAAAGACGACGTAGACGGTCACGCGACCGAGATCGTTCGAGAAGAAGCAGATCACGTGATCGCCACCGATCACATGGTAGATCACGAAGCCGATCACGCGATAGGCGAGGCCGTAGCTCATCAAGTGAGAGTAGTAGGTCACGTGAACGCAGTAGGTCACGTGAACGCAGTAGATCACGTGACAGACACAGGCGGCGAAGCAGAAGCAGGAGCCGAAGTCGAAGTCGAAGCTATCGTGAAGAACGTGATCGTGATCGTGAAAAGTATCGTGGTCAAGGCCGTGTAAGCAAGGATTCAGAAAGAGCTAAAGACGCTGCAAAGGCATCTGCTAAATTAACAGGGTAAGTAATTAAGAATAAATATTTTAATTCTGCTTTAAAAAAAATAGCAAAGTATTTTAATCTATATTGTGACCTTTGGGAGTGAACTKGACATGTTACTTGTATTATCTCGATATAAAATGAACTTGACATGATAATAGTCCTTTGCACAGTTCCCTGCGCCATCTTGAAAGGTAGCTCTGCCTTTACATCAAAGCGAGACGAACGGTAAGCTTGCAGTGATTGAAACCTTTTTTTAACACCTTTCCGCTCGCTTCGATGCAATGGCACGGCTACCTTTCAAGATGGTGCAGGGAACTGTGAAAGGGACTATTGTATTAACGGCTTTTGGTAAATCTTTACAAGTTAAAGCTGTTCGTGGAAAGTTAGTTCTTATTTTCCCCATCGTACTACGAGTAAGTTTGCATTTTTTTTTCTACTAATACGAAGAAGAATTCGCACAATGCAAACAACATTGAATTTTCAATGATTTTATTTGTAAACACGACGCGTCTACGAATTTTCCCGCCGAACTTCCGAGCATGCGCAAAGCATTTTTCACCCGTTTCCTTAGCGTTATTATTTATTTCTTCGCGCTTAAATCGAATTTTATGTGATTTTTGGCTTTAGAATGAGCAAGACTAAACAAGATTCAGACTCAAAGGACAAGGTCAGTGTGTATTTTAACCCTGGCCTCCTAGGGATTTATTTTTTTATTACTTCCCGAGAAACTTTAAAACCTCTTGTTTGACACTTATATCAACCTGAAATAAAATCAAGTTAAAGTCTCGTAAAATGAAATGAGGAAAAACGCCCACAAAATAAAGGGGGTTCCTATCATCATCATCATATTAGGTACTCCTAATATAGTACAATTAACGATTAATTGTAGTTTCCTCGACCAATCAGAATGGATTAAATTTGTTTAGTGTACTATAAGTATAGGAAATCGCACGATCTCGAGTACAATTCGGAATTTATAGTTACGAGTGATGTTTTGAAAGTTTTCAAAATTGGGCGAGTCTTTAGTCTTTCAAAACATCACGAGTATCAATTCTTAATTGTACGAGAAGATTGTGCGACTTCCAATACTTATAATTCACTCACCAAAATTGAGCAACTTAACTGGGAGTCTACAGAGTACARTTAATAATTTAATTGTACTCCTCTTTTCCAATCAGAGTTTATTGTAAATTAGTTAACATAGGGTTAAAATGTTCTCCCCAGACCAAACTAACTCCACAGGAGCGAATGAAAAAAAGAATGCAAATGATGCTAAACAAACAATGTAAGTTCTATGTTCGTTTTTTTTTTTTTTTTTTTTTTTTTTTACTGTGCTTTTGCTTTGCTTTTTCTCCTTATTGTTTAGTTAATTTTGTTGTTGTTGTTGTTTTGTTATTGTAATTTATTTTTAATTTGTTGATTTGCTTGTTTCTTTTTTTATTTGTTTCACGGTTTTCACAAATTGATCCTTGCTCGACTCATAAAAAGGTCATGTTTTGTACAGGTGGAGACGAACTTTTTATAATGTACTTTAATTGTTTTAACTCTTGTTTCAGTAAAAAGTGACCGAAAAGAAGAAAGAAATAAGCGAGATGCCAAAGAACAAGAAAGATTGGTAATTATTATTTGTTTTGTACCCATTCGTTCGTCCGTCCGTCCGTCCGTCCGTCCGTCCGTCCGTCCGTTCATTCGTTCGTTCATTCGTTCGTTCATTCGTTCGTCCGTCTCTCCGTCCATGGTCTATCCATCCTTCCATCCATTTCATTTCTTCATTTGTCCATCCATCTGTTTCATCCATACGTCCATCTCATTTATCCATTCATTCATTTATTCATCCATTCAACTGCCTCTTATATTCATTTTACTCATTCTATCCATTCATTCATTCGGGCCTATTTTTTAGGATCGTGAAGATGATCTGCGGCAGATGCAGCGAAAATGGAAAGACAAGTAAGCACGTAAAATATTTCCTCTCTATACCCTTATCTCGGTCGTATTCTTGATTGCATGTTACGTCATGTCGCGGCCATGTTGAAGCCATTTAACAAAAGATTACTCATTAGCATCCATTGTCAACAGCACCACGATGGCCGCCATATTTGTCTTTTGATTCTCTTGGGAATGCTTGCAACCCATCAATACCGTTTCTCGGATCGAGCTGTTATCATGTTATCATGAGCTGTTATCATCACTGCCTGCATGTTCGACGTATATGATTACATTTACATGGGATATAAAGGACTGTTTAATCCATTGTAGAGGTCGGCGCTCGCCTTCACCGAGAAGCTGGAGCTCCCACAGAAGAAGCCGCTCAAGGTCTCCTGATAGAAGGTACAGGAGGATGCACTTGAATTAATTTCTTCATATAGGTGTATGTGTAATATGAAGTACCTTGTTGAATGTGACATGTGATGTGGAGTACCTTGTGTTGCACATGCACACTTACAACACAAGGATAAGCAACACACACAGAGATGTGTATCTTATCTTCGCATTTTATAATGTTTTTATAAAATTTTGGTTAGCATAACATAATAGCACCTACCTAGCCCTACCCTGCCTTCCCCTGTCCCACCTTGCTCTGCCTCRCACTGCACTCGCACTCCAGCCAGCAATCCCTTGCCCTGTCCTGCCCTGTCTAGTTTCTGCCTAGTCATGCCTTTCCCTTCCCCACATTGCCCTGCACTGCCTTGCCATGCGCTGCCTTGGCCTGCCCCATTCCACCTTGCCTTGCCCTGCCCCATTCCACCTTGCCTTGCCTTATTCTAACATGCCCTACCCCATCCCACCTTGCCTTGATCTACCCCATCCTACGTTGCCTTGCTCTGCCCTGCCCCACCTTGCCTTGCCCTGCCCTGCCCTGCCCCACCTTGCCCTGCCCCACCTACTCTACCTTACCTTAACTTGCCCCATCCCACTTTGCCTTGCCCTGTCCTGCACTGCCCCAGCTTGCCTTCCCCAACCTGCCTCACCTTAAGATATTCTGCCCTGACCAGCTCTGCCTTGGTCCGCATTTTCTTTTCTCCTATTTAATCCTAACCACCCTGGTATTTTGTCTTTTTTAATTTACTAGTCGTCGTCGCAGTGATTCACCTCCTTCACCGCCCAGGAAAGGTAATTTGTGGATTGAAATATTTAATTCAGTCTAAAGTTTCCCTCAAAATTTTGCTTTTTTATCGTAGTTCTTTGATTGACGGTCGTCGAAATGCTAGTCGGCAAACGAGACATCCAACTCCGTGGTTCGCACTTCAACGACAATAGCATTAAAGTTTAAAACAATTTCTTAACACCACCTGTACAGATCATGAGTTTACATGTTTTAAACCTTTCTGTTCCTTCCTTTTTAGTTGCTGTGGTAGACTTTGAAGAGGAGACACAAGGAGAGGAAGTCATTCATTACGTTTATGAGAACAACTAGTATTCATTTGAATAATAAAAGTGTAAAACTCGAAAAGAAATGAATTAATAGGATAGCTCCTTTTCTGTATTTTACGGAACCAAATTTGCCTTCCTAAAGAGCAAAGATGACTGGTCCTCGCGGCCAATCGGATCACGGAGCTGAATTAAAGGTCGTTAAAAAAGCTCCCTGCGCCCTCTCGGGTCCTCAAATTCAATGCACAAAGGGACGGTTAGAGTTCAAATAGTAAACCCGCGATAAAGCATAAGTTAACAGTTTAAACCTGCTTTTAAAGTTAATGAAAACTAACTCTTTAAAACGTACACATTTTTCAAAGGTTTTCGGAGCCAAAGGAGATGGTGGGCTCTTTCCATTAAGTCGACCATTCCAAGAGGCCATTTTTTTAATGGTACGTGTCAGTTCTCATTAGTTTTGAGACCTCGGCTAACCAGATCTAAAGGACTGAGGCATACCATTTGAATACTGGCCACTCGTACTGGTGGGTTAGACCTAATGGAAAGCGCCCAGTCAACAGGTCTTGCCAAGAACGAAAGGAATTACGGTTAGATCTAAACACGTGTAATCGATGTCTTTTAGCTTCGTCGACTACAAACAACACTGGATATGTTTGGTGTGATTTTTGGTGTGAAATGTGATCGTCCCGGTGAGTGTAGTCCTGAGAAAGACTGTTGTTGGTGGTGACTGACGTTTCGACAACCTGAGCGGAAGTCATGTTCAGAGTCCAGTGAGAAAACGAGGACCATTTACTTCTTAACACTGGATATCTCAACACCATTCATTCCAGCTATTGTTAAATCTTGGAATAACCTAACTCCTTCAGCTCTGATAACCTTTTTTGAAATACATTGACCTCCGAGCCGAGCCTACGTACCTGACCAGCGTTCTGTGACAAACATGGTTTTTGCGCCTTGATGCTGACCAATCAGAAACACAGGCCTTTTTGTACATTATTGTGGCACCTGCTACGCAGGCTAAATGTTGGAGAATAAAATCAATACTCTTTCCTTACGTGCTTCAATTTTCCAAGCCTAACTCATAGTTCCGACTCAGACACCGTTGCAACAGTTTTTCTAGTAATCTTATCTTAAGATCTTGACCCACAAACAACTACACAGTATCTTTTTAAAAGAGTACTTCAAGGATTACGAGGAACTTTCTCTTATTTTTCTGAACATAAAACAATTTGAAGCAATTTTTGATTTATCTTCCGCAATCAGAGTACCAAATTCCGAGATATTCTATCTTATTCGTTGAGCTTGTTGCATAGCAACGGTAACCAAGGGGAGTCGGAAATGAATACTCGAGTTCATTTTTTCTCAGCTTTATATACCGCGTTTAGCTAACTTTTATCCGATTGTTCCGTAGTACGTACATTCTGTACTAAATGGGCCCAAACTCCACCATCAAGGCTAAGGCTATGAAAACGTTAACTCGAAATGGGAGTATTCTAATGTTTATATGTTCGGTGCAGAAACGTAAGATTTCAAAATCTGTCCACCTAGCAACATGACAACCTAGCTAGCAACGTGGTAACCTAGCAACATCGTAATGAACCTAGCAACGAAATATGTTGTTCCAATCAATAGTTGCACCCATAATATCATATTGCTGTCATGCAAYTTGTTGTCCAAATTGATAGAGTTTGAGTTGTTTTGCGTCTCTTCGAAATCGCTAATTATTCTGTTGTCATGTCAACGAGGTAAAAAACCAACAGGGATTCGACCAGAATGCGTTTTCGCTTGTACGTGCGACAAGAGTATATGTATCGTRTAGCGATACTTCATATGTGCCGTGCCTTTGATTCGTGTGCCAACCAGAGATCGATCGAAACAGAAAAAAATAAAGGCTCTAAAAATGGACATCAATTTGAATTTGAAAATTTTATGGGATGTTTGGGGGGGGAGGGGATTTTAAAATTAAGCCAAGTCCTAAAGTGGGGGCTTGTAAAAGAATAAGGTTTTTGAGGAGAAATTTTAGTCCGGACGCGTAGGACTCGTAGTGTTGGAAGAAGTAAGTTTTTTATTGTCTTCAGTTTTTTCGGCAAGAGGTAGACTTCACAATACTTAAAAATAGGTTACAAAAAAAAACAAAAACAAATTATTGTTAAATCCAAAATAACAGATTAAAAGTGGGTCATTTTACGTCATTTAAAATCATTTCATGGTAATATTATTTTTGTTCAAATATCATATTACGTATTGATATTACACTAGCTCGTACCCTTTTTACGAACTAATTCACCTGAATATCGAGGAATATTTAACTCGCGGCCTGATAAATATTTCCCGATATTCACTTCGCCTTCGGCAAATAATTGTTAAATTATTAAAACTATAATAGCCCTACTACTCTACATTCAATGGGCGTTGTCGGTCTCAGCGAAGCAATTATATTTCCAAACGAAAAATAAGCTGATTAACCTTTTCTCCTCCCATTGTTACCATAACAACGACAAGAGGAGTGGCAACATCTTATTAGTTGCCATGGAAGTATGACGTTCAAAAAGCAGCTTCTTGATACCAACGGATAAGAGATAAATTGAAACGTTTGTTCTCTTAGTTTTGCTTTTATTTGGGACAGCGAGAGAGAATGGAACAAGCGTATCATCTTCCTCCAATACTCTCCCCGGTCAAAGGGGTTCGAACTAATAACCAGCCCGCGTCGAATTATTTTCGAGAACCAGGAAAAACCAAGTTGCCGCCATTGAAAAGAGTAGTCACGCCAGTTGCGATCGAGAAAGAGAAGATTGACACGCCTAGGCCAGAACACGACCAACATCATGTCGCCAAGAGGAAACGAAAAAAGAAGAGAAATCGATGTCGCTCTCATGATCCTAGAGCCAGAGTAGAACCAGAGGTTGACGAGTTCGTTAACCTTTCTCAATCAGTGCGTCATAATACGCGGTTTGTCCATCCGTCGTTTTCATCACCAATAGTGCCTAGTCACCAAAACTCGATCTTCTCAGAAATTGAGGAATTTGATCCTCAAACRGCTATTGATTTGCCTCATAAATACAGTGACGAGCTACAAGGTGAAACGCCTTCGAGGATCTGCGAAGAACCCTGCCTTAGAAATGGTGCAAAGATGCAGAGCAAGGCGAGAAACGCCAAGACGAGGAATTTAGAACAGAAACATTTTCAAGTCGAGAGTGTAGAAAATGAGAACTCACCACTTRAAGTTGATTACGTCCAAACCGGCACCGTTTGCACAAAAAAAAAATGGTCCCTCACTTATTCAAGGTGGGTAAAAAGTAATAGATATATATGGGGGTGTGGATGGGGGTACCCGATTGTCAGTTAACTACTAAGTTTTAGGCCAATTGTCTGTTAACTGTTCATAATTTTACATGCGCTGACCATTACAATAACCAAAATAGTGTAATATCAGTTATAACTACTACTTTAGGTTATTTGGTTAGTTAACTGCTCGTTTTTAGGCCAATTGGCAGTTAACTGTTAAACCCCATGCATACCCTCAGATATATTCCATGTTATATAATCACTCGAATTTAAGTTGTGACTGAATATCTACAAGGGTTCATCGATATCTTTTTAGAACAAATTCGAGAGGAAAAAATATTGCAATCACTCGCCTTTCCAAAGTTTCATTGTGAAAGTGGAAAAAATCCTWAACCGCGTCTAGTAGTTAGAAGACGCCGGTAGGAATGGACTTTACCTATACCCATTATATAGTGACACGTGTTTCGTGCTATCTATTTTAACTCAGTTATTTTCATTTCTTTGTTCGCTCCCTTGTTCCTCATATCCTTTATCGCTTTCTTCCTTCCTCCCGTGTCTTTCACAGACACTCACCATTTTCCATACAGCGGTTCACTGGTCAAACACAAAGCATTCAGTCGAGGTTGCAAGGTTCAAATTTGAATAATAATCCTTTGAAAGTACCTTGGCGCCTCGAAAAATATTCACCGATAATCATTTCGCCTTGACTTTGCCTAACTGTTAAATAATCTTAAAAATAAAAGATTGTCATAATTTGATAATATTTCTTAGACTTTATCATACAAGTCTAGACCGCGTGCTTGTTGTTAAAATGAGTCGTGTTCTTTCCTCGCTCTGACATTTAAAACTCAATTTTCTTGCAGTTTTGTCGAGTGATCAATCAAATGTACGCCGCGAGGGAAAGGATGAGTACCTTGACGAAGTAGGATGGACAGACAAGTGTTTTCACCAGAAAAGACGAGGCACAAGAATAGTCCAATTAAAGGAACATCCTCACCCTGTCCATCCATTAGAGTTCCATCCTCACCCCCCTCCCCAGTTTCGCACGACCACATGCAAGACCCAACACGCTGCCATGTTGCCACACCAAAACCTGCCTGCTACTGATCCACGGCTTAATTTGTCGAGCCTTGCAAGGAGCGGCCATTCCCAAGTTAGACCGGTATGCATGCATGGGRAAAGCATTTCCAGCGTCACTTCAGAATTTCATCCTCATCCACCTCTGCAACCACGTAGTTTCATCACCCCAACTCGTCAGTGTCATTCCTTGGGCGACTACCAAGCAACACCCCTGGAAGGGCAGACTGGTTCCTCTGGGCATTTTTTTCGGAATACTAGTCCCACACTCAATAAATCCCATTSGCAGTTTCCCATTGACGTCTACCCCGATCGTTGTTCTGTAGAGCCAAGACCTTTGTGCAAGAACGTCGGCCATCATTCTTACAGAAGTGCTGGTAGCTCTCCGGTTCTCTCGGGTTTCGCGCCCCATATGTCAAGAGATTACTTAACTCAGAGTCAGCTGTGTCCACCCGCATCACCAGTTAACAAAACCTTCAACTTTAAGAATTCCTCCATGTTCAACAGCAATCGGGTCTGTTCTCTTGCAGACACAAATCAGGGACAAGACGTTCAACAAAATACAGCTACTCTAGGCAATGGTAGTGTCATCTCAGAACCACCGCCGTATATACCAAAGGGTATTCGTTTGCCTGCTAACTACCAATGGGCAATAATTGACGACTCTGGTAGTGTGACTCCACTTTCCCAAGGGACGTTTCCGGCTCCATCGGAAAAGGTTTCAGAGGAACCAAATGAAAGATCTCCCGATTCTCCAGAAAGCAGCTTCGATTCTTTTCCACCGTTATCCTCGAACATCCCCACACTTCATCTTCCATTAAACACCAAGAAAAACTTCGTTGACGAAATCCCTGAACTGCAGACATCAACAACTCTTAAATCCTTCTTAGATTCCCCGTGTGCTAATGCTTCACCCAARCGCGAAYGACGATGCTTTGGTTTGGGGATCGATGAAGAACGACCACCTGAGAAGATTTTTCAGAAAGTTCCCTCACCGACGAATGCACATTGGAAAACGAAGCACGGCAAAGGAGCAATAATGAATGCCAAGCAATCTAGTTGCAAGCCTTTTGCTTCATCTGTATTCGATCGAGATGTAGCGTTCTTTCAAGATTCCCCAAGAGCAAACAGATCAACCACTTCTTTAACAGAAATGCCCAATGAAAATATGGAGAAATTCTCGACGAACGACCAGTCTGAGAGTAATGCATCTGCAGGTCCAAACGGCGAAAAAAAGCAAAGGAATTTCAAGTTACCAATTGGTTGGTATTCTAATTCTAAAAGCTGGTTCAAATCACCATTCAAAAAAGAGAAAAAACACCACAGGAAGACCAGTACGATGCCGCCACAACAGACTAGTCAACTGCCACCTCTTCTGACCATTGAAGAGTTCTCATCCTTGAATATTTCGGACGAAAAAAAGAGTAGGTCTTCTGAAACTGCAGATAAAGATAAAGATAAGAAGAAAAGATCTGTTTATACTTTGGGAGAGTTCTTGAAGCTTTGCGACGAAGATGATGAAGATGCTGATGGTATTTTTGATTGACTTTTTTTGTTCAGTCCTTGTCGCGACAAAGTGATATAGAAAATACATACAATAACACAATTATTGAGTTTCATTTAACACAGTGAATAATAAATAACCGCAACCTCTGGGCTGATCTAAGTCAGGGCACAGCTAACTCACAGAGTGAACCCTGAAACAACCTCTTGGTCGACTGGTCTGAG